TTCTTGAACCTTCATAGGAATATCGTTCTTTAGGTTGGGAAAGTTTTCTTCTATAATTTTGTTGAATATATTTTCTGGGCCTTTGATCTGCAGTTCTTCTCCTTCTTCAATCCCTATTATTCTTAGATTTGGTTTTTTTATTGTGTCCCAGATTTCCTGAATGTTTTGTGAAGAGAATTTGTTGGATTTGCCATTTTCTCTGACCAGAGCATTTATTTTCTCTATGGTATCTTCAGAATCTGAGATTCGTTCTTCTATCTCTTGTATTCTATTGGTTATGCTTGATTCTGTAGTCTCCGTTCGTTTACCTAGGTTTTCCATATCCAGCCGGTTCTCGTTTTGTGTTTTCTTCATTGCCTCCATTTCAGTTTTCAATTCTTGGACTGTTTCCTTTACTTGTTTGATTGTTTTTTCTTGGTTTCTCAGGGTATCACTCACGGATTTACTTATTTCTTCAAACTTTTTGTTATATTTCTCATCCATTTCTATACTCATTTCTTCAAACTTTTTGTTATACTTCTCGACCAGTTCCTTAAGGGAGTTATTCATATCCTGTTTAAGGGACTCTATTGCTTTCATAATGGCACTTTTTTCCACTTCATCTGGGTTAGAGTGTTCAAATCCTTCTGTTGTAGGGTCCTTGGGATCTGATATTTTCATGTTGTTTTTCAGATTGTTGGAGGAGGTCTTGCCTTGGCGTCTGCCCATCTCTTCGATCCAATGCTCTCTATTGGAGCTTCTGGTATCGGGTCAGGTTCCCTTGTTGGGCAGGGAGTTCACTGATAGAATGCCTACCTTTCCCCAGGCAGGGTATTGAAGCACAGGCACTCCCTCTTTCCGGGATGCCCCTACAGAGCAGGCCCAGTGTGCAAGGCAGCTGAACTGGGGAAATTTTATGGCCTCAGTGGAAGGGGAGAAATATAGAAATTTGTACCTGGATGGAAGCTGGGATGGCAGGCGGGAGAGCCTAGCAGTGTGGAAACAGCACTGCAGGCTGACCTGGGAGTCTATGGGGTCGGGGAAAGTCCTAGC